TCAATTCTACTTTTAAGTATCTTTGCTATATGTGCAATAAGGCTTCCGGCAACAGTTTCACTGAGTTCTTGGGTAATACTGGCCTGCCGCCTTTCATTATAAATGCGCTCCAGATCGACTAATAATTCGCTGGCATTATCGGTGGCCGTTTGCATAGCCACCATCCGGGATGCTTGCTCACAGGCTAAGTTTTCTACTACTGCTTGGTAGACTTGGGATTCAATAAAACGGGTCAATAATGTCTCTAATAACCATTGCGGTGAAGGCTCATAGAGGTAATCCCAATTGACCGAGCGTAGTTTCTCTTCCTGAATTTTGTGCAGTGGTAGCAAATCGTTCACACGGACATTTTGTTTTAAACTGCTAACAAATTGATTGTAAACAAGATAGATACGATCCCAACGCCCTTCTCGATAGTTACTCAGCGCCACTTGGATAATGCCAATTAAGTCGGCTAATTGGGGATGATCACCTAAGCCTTCAATCTTCGCCACTGCTGGAATATGGGTATTATTAAAAAAAGTAATGGCTTTAGAACCAATTAAAGCTAATTCAACGGCTATTTCCTGCTTACTCCAATGGTGCATTTCTTCTAACGCCTTCTTAAATAGTGTGGCATTTAAGCCACCACAAAGGCCTCGATCGCTGGCAACTACGATATACCCCACTCGTTTAGTGTTTCGTTGGGTTAAATAGGGAGATTGGTAGGTGGTGTCGGCAGTTGCAATATGACCAATGACTGAGCGAATCGCCTGCGCGTAAGGTCGGCTGGCAGCCATACGTGCCTGTGATTTTGCCATTTTAGTCATTGCCATGGTCTTCATTGCCTGGGTCATCGATTGAGTATTTCGCACGCTGTTGATCTTGTTGCGAATCTCTTTTTTATTAGACATTGAATCCTACTTCCTGAGATAGCAATCTAGATCTTGAATTGACCATCATGCTTCCGATCCGGGATGATTCGCTTTAAAGGCATCCAAAATTTGTTTTAAGTACTTTTCAATGCGCTTATCGTAGTTCCCCGATGCGTTAAGCTCATTGATAAACTGCAAATATTCACGTTTCGCATAGCTAAGCAGCTCATGTTCAAAATTTTGGATCGTTTCTACAGGAATATCATCCAAGTGATTGTGCGCTACCGCAAACAGCAGTAAAGCTTGCTCGGCAATGGACAACGGTTGGTAGCGTGCCTGCTTAAGCAACTCGGTGACCTCTCCGTGAGCCAATTGCTTACGAGTGACTTCATCTAGATCGGAGGCAAATTGAGAAAAGGCTGCTAATTCTCGATATTGCGCCAATGCAGTGCGTACGCTGCTGGATAATTGGCGGATGAGTTTGCTTTGTGCAGCGCCTCCCACTCAAGAGACTGAAATACCGGGATTGATGGCTGGACGGACTCCGGCGTTAGATAGCGTACTTTCTAAGAATATCTGTCCATCGGTAATCGAGATGACATTAGTAGGGACAAAGGCTGAGACGTCCCCCGCTTGAGTTTCAATAATCGGTAAGGCCGTGAGCGAACCACTTTTTCCGGTGACTTTCCCTTGAGTAAAGCGTTCGACATAATCGGCATTGACTCGCGCCGCGCGCTCTAGTAGCCGTGAATGAATATAAAAGATATCGCCAGGAAAAGCTTCACGACCAGGAGGGCATCGTAGTAACAAAGAGATTTGTCGGTAAGCCACCGATTGTTTGGAAAGGTCGTCATAAACGATTAATGCATCTTCACCGCGATCCCGAAAATATTCGCCCATTGTACATCCGACATAGGGGGCTAAATATTGCAATACTGCTGACTCGGCAGCGGAAGCGACTACAACAATAGTATGCGCTAACGCATCATGCTCTTCTAACTGCCGGACCACTTCAGAGACGGTAGAGGCTTTTTGGCCAATGGCCACATAGATACATTTAACACCAAAGTGGCACTGATTAATCATGGTATCAACCGCTAAAGCAGTTTTACCAGTTTGTCGATCACCGATGATCAATTCCCGTTGGCCACGCCCAATCGGAACCATGGCATCGATGGCTTTGTAACCGGTTTGCAGGGGTTTATCTACCGATTGACGTTCAATCACGCCAGGTGCTATGACTTCAACCGCTGCAGTTCCATCATGCTCGAGCTCCCCTTTACCGTCGATCGGTTGTCCCAAAACATTGAGAACTCTGCCCAGTAGACCTTCTCCTACCAGGGCCTCTAGCATTCGACCAGTACTATAGACAGCCATGCCCTCAGTTAAATCACTGTAAGGACCCATGACAACAGCACCCACCGTGTCTCGTTCTAGATTGAGTGCCAAAGCATAACGCTCACCGGGTAGCTGTAGCACTTCCCCTTGCATAACCTCAGAGAGGCCATAAATGCGAATAATGCCGTCATAGACAGAGACAATATTACCTTGATGGCTAAATTCACTGTGGATATCCAGCTTGGCAATGCGTTGTTTAATTAGTTCACTAATCTCATGAGGATTCAGTGGCATCGTCTTTTCTCTACTTCTCTATTAAGCTTGCAACTTCCGTGCAAATTGGTTGAGTCAACCTCGGATACTGCGGTCAAGCATCCAATCACCGATATGAATAATGAGGCCAGCCAGTAATTTAGGATCAACCTGAATGTGTAATGTAACCTGGCGATTTAGCCGTTTGGCTAATGCATGATTTAGCTGATGCTCTTGCTGAGTGGTTAAGGAACGTGCCGTGATAATTTCGACGGTTTCTTGCTTAGCTTGTGTCTGTTGCAATTGAATAAACTGTTGATAAATTTCAGGTAATGCGTTTAATCTTTGATTTCGTGCCAGCAATTGTAGAAAATTGTTGGTATACGGGTTGCCTTTGGGCTGGCAAAGTTCTTGTAACAGTTGAGAACCGTACTGTGCTGTCAGTGGGTGGCTCAATAACATTCTCATCTGTGTGTCATTGCTGATCTGAGAAGCTGATTGCAACAGGTTTTGCCACAGCGAGAGAGCATTCCTTGAGCAGGCGAACTCGAAGGCAGCTTTGGCATAAGGTTGTGCAACTTGGCTCATCTCACTCATTTTTCCCTCTTGGACTCTCGCAAGCTGTTAGGTTTATAACTCTGCAACCAGCTCTTCTATAATCCGCTGGTTGGTTTCATTGTCTAGAGTGTTTTTCACCACTTTTTCGGCTGCCAGTATGACCAGTTTTCCAAATTGTTGGCGTAAATTCTCATATTCACGCTGACAAATGCGTTCAGCATCAGCCTGAGATTGCGTTAAAATTTTACTACGCTCCTTGAGCGCATCTGCTTTCGCCTCTTCAATGATCTGTGCACGCTGCTTATTGGCTTGCGCTTGCTGCTTGGCAGCCTGTAGCTGCGCAGTCTTTTCAGATTGAGCGGATTGTAAAGCTGTCTTAGCCTCTTGTGCAGCCGTTAACCCGTCAGAAATCGTTTTTTGCCGGGCTTCAATAGCCGCCAATAATGGAGGCCAAACATGCCGCATGCAAAATAGTACAAATAAGACAAAAGCAATGGCTTGACCTAATAGTATGGCATTTACATTCATTGACTAACACCCCTGATGGGATACCTTTTAGCCTTTCGCAAAAAATTCATGATGATATTAAAAATCATAGGGCAGAATTCATTGGTATGAGCTGTTATTTCTCTATTTTAGAATACTAGCTTTAATGAGGTAAGCCGAAAATGAAATAGAGTGCTACCGCAACGGTTAACATGGGGATAACATCAATCATTCCCATGACAATTAAAAATTGGGTTCGCAATTTTGGCATTAGGTCGGGTTGCCGTGCAGCCCCTTCCAAAAATTTGCTGCCTGCTATACTGATTCCTACTGCTGCGCTGATCGCAGCAATCCCCAACATAAAAGCAGCTAGTACATAGGTATCTACACTGAACGGTTCCATAATAAACTCCTAACATTAAAGCGAGCGGTAATAGATCAGAGCCTAGCGGTTAGTTATGCTCTTCATTGACCATCGAGAGATAAACAATCGTTAGCACCATAAAAATAAAGGCTTGTAAAACAATGACCAGGATGTGAAAAATCGCCCAGGGAATGGAAAATGCCCATTGTGCCCACGAGGGCAATAGAGCACTGATCAAAATAAAAATTAGCTCTCCAGCATACATATTGCCAAATAGTCGTAAACCCAATGATAAGGGCTTAGCTTGCATTGAAAGGCTTTCTAACAGCAGATTAATTGGGGCAAATAGCCAATGATTGAATGGATGAAGGGTAAAATCACGAAGAGTTCCACAAGCACCTTTCACCTTGATACTGTAGAAGATGATCAGGAAAAAAACGCCTATAGAGAGCGATAAAGTGATGTTAACGTCAGTTGAAGGTACGACTCGCAGTTCAGATAATCCAGCATATTGTGCTAGTCTGGGCAGTAGATCCACTGGTAGCAAATCCATGGTATTCATCAGCAATACCCAAACAAAGATGGTTAACGCTAGTGATGCAATCATTAGATTACTTCCTTGGAAAACCTCTTTAACGGATTCATTAACGAAATCAACAACCATTTCAATGGCACACTGCAATTTTCCGGGAACGCCAGTGGTTGCCCGAACAGCCACATGATGGAATAACCATAAAAACAGCACACCTAATCCTATTGAAAAGAACAGTGAATCAATATGTATCGTCCAAAAACCTGAACCAATACAAAGGTGCCGCAAATGATGGGTAATATATTGCTGCGGCGTGAGGCCATGGATAGCTACCATACTGACTGTAATCATCTTCCTGCTTAAGTCAATCACCAGCGCTTTCATATGCTAAGCGGTTTGTTTATTGCTCATTGAGATTGTTTTTGTGCCCGTTGATCAGCAGCCATAATTTCATTCATAGCCGCTTGTTTACCTTGCCACCCTTTTATGGTTACCCATTTTCCTGGTTCCAGCGCTTTATAGTGTTCAAAAAAGTGCTGAATTTGTGCCTTTAGTAAGGCTGGCAGATCATCAACTTCTTGAATGACCTCGTAATCCGCAGTAAGCTTAGAATGGGGAACGGCGATTACTTTGGCATCTTCGCCGCTTTCATCCACCATAGCTAACAGGGCTACTGGCCGGCAGCGAATGACCGAACCTGCTTGAAGAGGATAGGGAGTCGGTACTAATACATCAACCGGATCTCCATCATCCCCTAAGGTGTCATTAATGTACCCATAATTACAAGGATAGAACATGGGTGTATTAATAAAGCGGTCAACAAATAGCGCACCGCACTGTTTATCGACCTCATATTTGATCGGATCAGAATTAGCGGGTATCTCGATAATGACATAGATATCGTCTGGAATTGATTTTCCAGAAGGTACGGACCGTAAACTCATTTTTTTAGCCTTTTAAAACCCCAACTTTGTTAGGGGGCATAGTATACCCTGGGACTTAGCAATAGTCAGAAAAAACTCAATTTTATTTTTATCTCAATCGGTTATAAGGGTTGTATGAACGATTCTGCCTTGGCTACCATTTCAGAGGAGCCCACCCAAAGCGAGGATCGCTGATGGAGAGAAATTGGTTGAATATCTAAAATCCATTGACTTCCATCAGTAGCACGCCCGCTTGCTTGCTCGGCAAGTAGGGCGATGGGGTTGCACTCATAAAGAAGGCGTAATTTACCCTGAGGGTGGGTTTGGGTACTGGGGTAAAGGTATATCCCCCCTTTTAAGAGATTGCGATGAAAATCAGCGACTAGAGAGCCGATGTAACATGCGCTATAGGGGCGGCTAGTAGCAACATCCCTGGTTTGACAATAATGGATATATTGCTGCACCTCCGAAGGAAATTGGTACTGATTCCCCTGATTAACCGAGTAAAAGTTCCCTTGGGTTGGTGTTTGAATCGATTCGTGAGAGAGGCAAAAGACTCCCAAAGTGGGATCATAGGTAAAACCATGGGTTCCATGGCCAGTGGTATAGACCAGCATCGTGGAAGAGCCGTAGATGACATAACCAGCTGCCACCTGTTGATTCCCTGGTTGTAAGAAATCATTGAGGGTGACTAGGGAGCCTATCGGTGACAAGCGATGATAGATGGAGAAGATGGTACCGACGGAAACATTAACATCACTATTAGAGGAGCCATCCAGTGGATCTAGCAATACCACATATTTCCCTTTTCGAGCCCTCTCCTGCGTGAAGGCGATAAAATTTTCCTCTTCTTCAGAAGCGATCCCAGCAACTTCACCGCGCGCCTCAAGAGCCGCTTTAAAGGTCTCATTGGCAAATTGATCGAGTTTGGTCTGCCTCTCGCACTGTACATTCTGTTTTTCAGTATAACCCAAAATATCGACTAAACCGGCTTTGTTGATGTCGCGATGAATAATTTTAGCCGCCAACTTAATGGCAGCTAATAGCGCCGTTAGTTCGCCAGTGGCATTTGGAAAATCCTGCTGCTTCTCTATAATAAACTCGCCTAAAGTTTTCATCTATCTAATGGGTTTCCCGTAGAGGTGTCTGATTGGCAGTATTCGTTGATTTTAACCTCTTCAGTGTCTCAATGCACTATCGTCGCAGACTTTAAGGCGCTGATGAATGCTTCCTCTTAAGTGCTAGTAAGTAGATATAATTCTCGATCGAGAAAAGCACTACCCCCATTCCTCGAATAACATAAGAAAACTCCAATTTGGCAATTTTCTACATGACCGGTAGTGCCGCTGTACTGACGTTGCACACCTGCCGAATGTCTGCCTTTTTTGATTCTGAAAAACCTAGGGTGATTCAGTTTTTTGTAAGCATCATGCTGTTGTCCTCTTAGCTCTCAAGAGGAGTATCCCTTAACACCCTAAAATCCACAATAGTGGTGCCTTGAACCTCTGAAGGAGTTAAAATCAACAAGCACCGCCTCAGACACCTCTACGGGAAACCCATTAGATGGATGAAAACTTTGGACGAATTTATTATAAAGAAGCAGCAGGATTTTCCACACACTATGGAATTTTTGTGTGAAAGGAAAGATATCCAGCCAAATCAAAAATCCTTTCTTTCCTCTACTGCCCTAAAATGGCTGGGTTTCTTGGAGGTATTTGATGAAATTGAGTGAAGTCTGGCTACGAGAGTGGGTTAATCCCGCAATTAATACTGAGCAATTAGCCGAACAATTGACCTTAGCTGGCTTAGAGGTAGAGCAAATCAGTACCTTAGAAGAGGACTTTTAAACCTTCCATAATAATTAATCCATCCTCTTATCATTGGATTAAGCCATTTCGCTACTTCTTCTAGACTTAAATCACTCCTGTTCCGCACGCCCGTTTCTCTTATCTTTCTGCATATAACTTTCTTAGCTTCTTTGCAGATCGCCGGTGTAAAAATCACGGAGAGTTTATTTCCAATCCCTTTCACCGTTCTTCTGCGAAATTCATAGCCTAGAAAATTAAATTTTTTATTTTGATGACAGCCTCTCCTTTTACCATCTTTACAGTAAACAATCTTTGTCTTTTCAGGATGCATTTCGAGTTCACACTCCTTAAAACGTTCTTGTAGCCTAGCAAGAGTTTGCTCCGCTCCCATTCTCGTTTTACAATGCACTAATCCATCATCTGCATAACGGCACCATGGAGTCGATGGATATATTCTTTTCATCCAAAAATCAAACACATAATGTAGAAATAAATTACTCAAAACTGGGCTTATGACTCCACCTTGCATGATACCTCTGGTTTTATTTTGCAATTCCCCATTTGGTAACTGCATGGGTGTTTTTAACCACCGTTCTATATAAAGTATTATCCATTTATTGTTTGTATGCTTCTTTACTGCTTTCATCAAAAGTTCCTGGTCCAAATTATCAAATAGACCTCGGATGTCGTATTCCACCAACCAGTCATATTGCCAACATCTCTGTCTCGTTATTCCCACCGCATCCAAAGCCGACTTGTTGGGGCGATATCCGTAGGAATCTTCCAAAAAGTAGTCTAACCGCCCTGACCGTTCTTCGTCGTCGTTACTTGGGTCAACACCGTTGGGCGCCACACTTCTCTCCTCTGTAACCGTCCACCCTCTTTTTGAGGCTTGTTGGCCACAAGGTGGTTGCCACTGGTCACTTTGGCTGCCCTACCTGGTGCTGTCTCCGTTGAAGTTGTTAGGTCGTGGCTGGTTCCGGCTTGACCAGGCTCCACCGCTTCCTCCTTCTGTTGCTGACTACGGGTTTGGAATTTCAGCATAGAACCTGATATTATGGGCACCAGCAAACAGCTAGGTGCTGTTTGCGATTCATTTAAAGGAGGGAAGGCGTGAGTGGGGTGGAAATTGGCGATGGGTTTGGCTTGCTCCTGGTGATGCGTTCTCTCCTCAGGTCGGCTAAGGGCCAGGCTTGGACAAGGAGGGTGAAGCACTTCTGACCAACACAATGCACTTTGTCACAGGAACACTTTATTGTTTCACACAGTCACTCGGAGTCAAAATCTACACTATAAGGCTTAGTCTCAGCTTCCAAGCCGCCGGTGCTATACTTGCTCAAATCACTTATCTTAACGCGCAAGTATATTCGTGGGTTTTTACCTCCGCCGAGTTCAGAGTTTTTAGTAGACTCCTTATCTTAAACTGGACTCTCTGCCGAGCCAGAGGTCCTAACTTAATTGTATCCGCCTCCTCTCTCCTCCTCCTAAATTCTCAGATAGGTGGATTCAAATCAGAGGAGTAGGCTAAATTTTTGGTTCCGGCCAATGACCGATTGTTTTAGAAGCAGTTTCGGCCTAAAATCCCAAACGGCGAAACTGACAAAAATGTAACTTATGAGGGTCGCTAAGGAACCCCTGGACCTCCCACTGTTGACTTATTACGGGTTGCGACTGTCATGTCTCGAATTCTCAAAGTGTCTGGCCATTCTAAGTCAACTTCTCAATTTCTAAAGAACTCAGTGGGGGTTCCATGAAATATCATTCTGCCCTTTTCGAAACAACACCAAAGGCCTGGAAGCAAGAACTAACAGATGTCTTTGTCCACTCAAGTTCGGTCTATCTGTTTGTTCTGACTGTGTCTTCCTGTTTCTTAGTAATTCTTACAATTCTACTTTATAACTACTGAAAAAAAAGGGGGGGGGATTGCAATGGTTCGGTTACAGTAGGGCTCTACATGAGGTTCAAATGCTAACTTGATCGTCATTTAGGCTATTCTGTCTGCTACAGTAGGTATATAACATTCTTTTTCCACCCAGCTTTTTGGGTATCTCTACCCCTTTAATTGCTGGTGGAAAATAAGTTCCAGAAGATAATCTGTTCCAGAGTTTATACAGGTTTCCAGATAAGTTATGTTCAAAGTCATTTATAGTCTCCTGATCTACACCAGCAGAGCCTTTATTTTCTTTGACCAAGTGAAACGCTTTCCATACTAATGATTTTGGAATATCAAATGGCTTTGTTTTATTCATTATATCATCCTGCCGCAAGTTGTATAATAACTAAAACTTGTCTAACACTGCCCCTTCGCTCCATTTCCATTACAGAAACTTCATCACTACTACGAGTAGTTTCACCACGGTTCTTGGCATCGGTACTCTCATTCTTGAGTTTTCGCTCTTGAATTTCTCCCTTATCATCCAAGCGACTGCTTCTTGCAGTTCCCTACAGACGCCCAAACTAGACTCACGCCCCCTGCACACCGAACACCACCTACGCAGTAATCAGGTTTCTCGTAGATTAATCCCCCCCCGCAAATAGTGATGGTTTTGATGTTATTTGGGCTTTACGATGACTCAACAGAGGTTCAGTTTCATTCGTCTTTCTAGTTCATACCTTGCCAGATTTAATTCTGGCTTTCTTCAACGCTCACGACCACTGCTCTTTACAGCAGCCGCTTGAAGTGGTTTGATACCTGCACCTGAATGCCGATATCGAAGGGTCTTTTCCTTCATCATCTGTAGAGCTTGTGCGCAATTTATACAGCTACTGCTGTTTCAGTTGCACGGCTGCAACGCACCTGGGGAATTCCGCGCACATCTGATGAAATCAGCGACCAAACTGCTATTAGAAAACTCTGATAACAACTAAAATTAAACAGATTAGCTATACAGAAAACAACCAAAAAACGTTGCCGAGGGGGTTCCCTCTCGGTCATTCTAGGCTGTTGAGTTCGATTGGAAATATTCTGCTTGCAGGGGCAGAAATGATTTATCATCAGCCATAACAGAATCTCGCTAGCATGACTTAACCCTAAAAGGGGATCTCCGGGATACTCTGGAGAGTTCAATGTGTGGAAGAAATGTAAAATCTAGGTTACGTTATTATCATAATTTAGCTAATTTAGTGCAGACGTAATAGTTATTATTTAGTTAACTTGAAATCTCCATGGAATATTTCCTACAAATAGGGTAAACCACTTGATTTTTGTCAGTAGTTCATAGTTTAAAAAGTAGATAAAAGCATTACTACTGGTAAAGCTAAAATAATTGTCGATTCAAAGTATATGACTTATATTGTATCCCTAATTAAATTGCGGAGAAAAAAATGAAAGCAGCTGTCGTTACCGCTGATCATCAAGTAGCAGTAGTCGAAAAAAATATCCGTCCATTACAATCCGGGGAAGCCTTGTTACAAATGGAGTACTGTGGCGTTTGTCATACAGACTTACATGTCAAAAATGGTGATTTTGGTGATAAAACTGGCGTAACCTTAGGTCACGAAGGGATAGGTGTGGTAACCGCTATTGGCCCAGGGGTCACTTCATTAAAAGTGGGAGATCGTGCCAGTGTGGCCTGGTTTTTTGAAGGCTGTGGCTACTGTGAATATTGCGTAACAGGCAATGAAACGCTTTGCCGCTCAGTAAAAAATTCAGGTTACACGGTAGACGGTGGTATGGCTGAAGCATGTATTGTAACAGCCGATTACGCAGTAAAAGTCCCTGAAGGACTTGATCCTGCGGCTGCCAGCAGTATAACCTGTGCCGGAGTCACTAATTATAAAGCTATTAAAGTCGCAGCCGTTAAACCCGGAGAATGAGTTGCCATTTATGGGCTAGGTGGCTTGGGTAATTTGGCGCTTCAGTATGCAAAAAATGTCTTTAATACCAAGGTTATTGCTGTGGATGTTAATGAGGAGCAGCTTAAGCTTGCCCGTGAAATGGGTGCTGATTGGGTGATTAATGCTTGCACCGAAGAGGTGGCAAAAATGATCCAAAAGAAGATTGGTAGAGCTCATGCAGCTATTGTTACTGCGGTGGCAAAAGAGGCTTTTAATTCTTCAGTTGATGCCATTCGGGCAGGCGGACGGATAGTTGCTGTTGGACTGCCCTCTGAGGCTATGAAGCTTAATATTCCTCGTTTAGTACTCGATGGCATTCAGGTTATCGGATCCTTGGTCGGCACCCGTAACGATCTGGCGGAGGCATTTGCGTTTGCAGCCGAGGGAAAAGTAGTCCCAAAAGTTACCTGTCGTCCTATAGAGGATATTAATGCTATTTTTAATGAGATGGAGCAGAGTAAAATTAAAGGTCGTATGGTTATCGATTTTAGATCGCACTAAAACTTACCTTGTAGGAGTCGCCGCTGGATTAAGATAATAAGCGCAACATTCTAGAGGTTGAAAAGGGGTTAACTATCGGTACCATTTTGATTGATAGGCAAGCTATCAGGGATGTCATTCAAGATTCACGGCGCGGCTCCATTGCCATGATTCCGCAAGGTCCATCCTTGTTTCAAAGAAGCTTGAAAATATTCGTTATGGCTGAATTAACGCAACAGATGAAGAAGTCATGGAAGCTGCCAAAAAAGCCCATGCTCATGAGTTATTTCAGCGTAACCGCAAGGCGAGGCGTAAAAGTTTCAGGTGGACAGTGCCAACGCATCGCGATTGCTCATGCTATTTTGAAAAACGCACCCAATTCTTATTTTGGATGAAGCCACCAGCCAACTTGATTCTATAACGAAAAGCCTGATCCAAGAGTCCTTATGGACGTTGATGCAAAACAAAACCACAATCGTCACCACCCATCGCTTATCGACCTTGCTTCATATGGATCGCATCCTGGTTTTTGATAAAGGCTAGATCGTAGAAGATGGTGCTCACAGCGAACTCCTTGCCAAAGGCGGACTTTATAAAAGCTTATGGGATCACAAGTTGGTGGCTTTTTGGGCGACGAGAAAACGGAGAATGAGGCATGAGTAAAACGAATTATCCAAATCCCAACACTCTTTATCCCATAGAAGGTGTAACGCGTACGGTATACTTGAAAAACATCATTACAAATCCACAAATTATTGTGGGTGATTATACATATTATGATGACCATGAAGACGTACAGAACTTTGAGAAAAACGTTCTTTATCTCTTCGAATTTATGAGGGATAAGCTCATCATCGGCAAATTCTGTCAAATCGCCACAGGCATGCGTTTTGTCATGAACGGGTCAAACCATGCGATGAATGGTTTTTCCACGTATCCATTTAAAGTATTTGGTGGAGAGTGGAGCAAAGCATCTTTCGATGTAGAAAGCAAAGGAGATACGGTCATCAGTAACGACGTCTGGATTGGCAATGGCGTAACCATTATGCAAGGCGTGAAAATTGGGGACGGTACCATTATTGGTACGAATAGTTTGGTCACAAAAGATGTCGAGCCTTACACAATTGTAGGCAGCAACCCCGCAAGAGAAATTCGCAAAAGATTTGACGATGAGACAATCCAGTTTTTGCTTGCTCTAAAATGGTGGGATTGGGACGCCCCAAAAATCACAGACAACCTTGAATTTCTGACAAATGGCAAGATCGATGAATTAAAACGAATTTATGAGGAAAATAAATGAATAAAACCATGCAACAATTAACAGAAATTAAATTAGTTAGCATTACGGCGCACACATCAAACACCCGTGAAATGAATCCAGATACCGGCAAGATAGGTGCCACCACCATGATCAATTTGCCGGTTACTTGTTTACTATGCCATAACCTAGCAACAGCTGTCTGCATGCTATAATATGAATTTGGAAACTGAGAAGGAGAACCAGTATTTATAGCATACAGAAAATTATTGGACTATTTTTACAGGTGAGGTAACAGTGAGTTATGTTGCAAACAGAAATGTTTAAAATTCTTGTATATGTTCATAAGTGTTGATATGTATTTTTTATGTAAACTGTAGTAGTATACATTAAAAAGATGAGTCGAAGTATGTTGGCATTTAGTCCATTACCTCATTCTATTAAAAACATAAAACAAAATGGATTTAATGTTCACATAAGATTATAAATAGGGCATGAATTTCGGAGAGCTTACCCAGCATGTGAAATTGATGGGGCAGAGTGTAATCCTACCTCTGTCCTGGTTGGAGTTGGGCTGATAACCTTATTTTTGTGTATAATTTAGTCTTACATGACTGTACCATGAAGACTAAAGTATTTAAGTTTTTTAGGACTAGCCTATTTAGTTTCTGAGGGTTATATCAATCACATTCCAAGACTAAAGTATTTAATATTGTACAGCCTCATCCTGTTGTACTGTGTATTCTAACTTCGTGTTCTCACACCTTGCCGTCTTTGTGCAACTTCATGGATGTATTAATATTCACGTGTCTTCATCTGTTTATTATACAGCACTGCGTGTTTCAGCCTCATTGACCATCATCAGGTGCATAAGAAGAAGGAACAATTGAGTACATTGATTTAGTTTATTTTAGTTATAGTTTGGAGCACATTTGCTAAAGTTTCTGTATATTCCAGATGAAGAAATCAATGCTGTGGGGTTAGAGTTGAAGAAGTATGGAATCCAGATGCCAGCTTTTCGGAAGATTGGTGGACTACTAGCTAATGAATTAGGAGCTGACACGGCAGTTCTTCACGCAGCCATTATAGCAATCAATGAAGCAATTGACAGAAAGGTGCTGAATTAAGCCAGTCACATTACTAGAAATGTTTCCATGGTAATCTATAAAACTGTGCTTTGTGAAGCAGAAAATCACTATGGTGTTGGTCATCATCATAATCGTCCTTTCCATTATTATGTCTGTTGATCCATCATTTCATAGGTCTTCCCAGCCTCCGTTAATAATCTAACATCTTTGGGATCGTTTCAGAGCTTATCCTATTAGTGTTTTCTTTTCATTTTCCTCTGTATTGTATGAATTCTGTTATTTGTGGAATTTTTATCTCTGTTACAATTTAATTTCCTTTTATGGTCTAAAGGTGTTTCTCACAGCACTCCCAATGAAACACGTTTCTGCCGATGTCTTCTCTCATCATTCTTATTGCCTCTGATCCTCACCCTTAAAATAGCGTTGGTCTAGAAAGTGTCTTATAAATTTGTACTCTTGTATGAATAGAAACTAATACTAATATTTTTACAAAATGTTCAGATTTACGTGCAGATTATTTTCTCCTTCACGAGACATGTGATATCCAAAGTAATGGAAAGAATAGATCAGTGTGGTCGCGGTGCAAGGGCCAAGAAGGCCCACCCCTTATACGTTTGATGGAAAGAATTAATTTGTTCCAGTATTGTGTCCCTAATGCATGTCTTTTTTCTAGTTGATCCTGTTCCACTAAAAGCCTCTAAAAATTTTAGTTCCTGTCGATACTTGTTTTGTTCACTTGGTAATGATTTTAAATGAATAATCTTTATGGTATACTTCCGGTTGTGTGTTATTTATGAAAACACATTTTGGAAAGTCGTACAAGAGATAATCAAAAAGAAACAAAATAGACACTACTGTGTCACCATTTGTTGGTGGGGGGGTGTATCTTCTTCTTCTCCTCCTCCTCCTACTCTCTCTCTCTCTTTTTTCTACATGTTTTCAACCCTTTTCTTGGGTCATCTTCAGGCATACACAAATACTATTTAGCTTCTGAATTGTGTCATTAATCAGTATGAATTCATACTGTGTCTATACGATTATTCTATACTGACAGTTATATCTTAATTTTAAAATGTGGTTCAAATATAGTTAAACCTAGACACCAAAATTGATAACACCCTCCTGTGCCCAATTTATGTTGTGTGAACTTCAAGACTGTTGAAGTTATAATATTACCTCTCATGTGTGTGGAATGTTATCTCTGAATCTTAAGAGACACAACATAAAATTGAGACCGCTAGGGAATGAATAATGTGGAAAATGTGTAGACCTAAAGGAGGAGTAACAGAAGGTTGGGGAAAATTATGCAATAAGATATGTTGAATGAAAAGTGATGCCTTGAACTTCATGACTCACCAGCAGAGGGCAACACTGACATGCTGCAAGTTGTGACAGGTTCTATAGCATCTATTCTTGCACCTCAGTTGGCAGAAAATTTCTGTGTTAAAAGGTTGTGTTGCTGTTGTATGTGAAATGGAAGTCTGCACTGAGCACTTGTCAGAGCACTTAAAGCAATGTGCCATGATTTAATTCTTATTGCAGGTTTATTGCAAAATGCAGGTTGTTTATGTTGATGACTGTGTTGATGTGAGCACTTTGCTTCGCTGGGTCTTTCTATGTAGGCAATGCGTTTGTTGCATCAGCCATAGTTTCAGCACGAGTATATCCATATATCATATATAAGAAAGCTTGGGCATACATTTACATTGATGAAACTGAGAATTTTGTGTTCATTTTGTATTTGCAGTCACAGAAATTTTTTTATATACAGGATCCCTCAGAAATATTGAAGTGTCTTAGTAATCCAGCTGCAAGATTACAACATTTATACCCTCCGTATGCTGCATTCTATCAAGAGGATATGAAAAATGCTAAACTTAATAAAGCTGAAGAATCTTTTAACAGGGTATGTATACTGTAAGCATTAGATGTGATTTTAAAAGTGTCACTCACGATTTTTTTTGTGCTGATAATGCTGAAGCATTGAATTCATAACAGAAAAGATCTCCTATTGAGAAATAACTGTCACCTATTTCAGAAAACTTCCTGCACCAGGGAATTAAGTATTTTTATCTCTTTTGTTAAATGGTAATTTAATGTTACTTGAATGTATCTGTCCTTACTTTTTGTGGCTTGTAATTATTTACTGCTGATTTGCCTTTTGATCTTACTAAATAATACAGTCAACTATGGTTATCTCTTATCAGAGGATCTTGAATTCCCATGCAACTGCTAAATATTTTAAAGGAAATTTACCATTTGTGTAAATTTACTTCAAAAACAAATTTCCAATACATCTACCATACAGTAGTTCCTCCAGCTGCTGCTAGGAGTGCTGCTTGTTATCTGTCCTCATATAGGTATATTACAATAGAGGTTAGTTGAATTTGTGATCGTGTTTTAGTATATCCAGAATCTTTCATCCATCCATCTTCTGTGTTTTGGCAACATCATACGTTGCCACATTCGCAACTCAACACCTAACAACTGCAAATATAGAATTGCATCCTTGTTTGAACCACATATGACCTAGCAAATATTCACTCCAGAATTGTTCAGTTCATATATCTATATACAGTACCATATAATGATACAAATTCCATCCCAAGTGCAAACAATATATTATGTGTCCTTGANATTGTAAATATGGGCCCCCTGTAAGAAGTAAGGTGGTT